CCCCCCCCGCCCCGGGAGAAAGAGGATCTTATGACAACTAACTCCTTCTTCCTTTTCTTGACCATCCCCTCTCAGGGGTTTGAAGAAATACCGTTACGTTTGCTACCTCTTTGCAGTGGCAATGGATGGGCTCTGTTGCCTCTTCCATCCAGTTCTCCAAAGCTTTCCCCTCCTGCTGCCTTTCTCTTTCACCTTTGGCTATTTTGATGGAGCCTACATCACTCTAATCCCGGTGGTGACAACAGATGTCGTGGGGAGTGCGTCCTTATCCTCCGCCCTTGGCATGGTCTACTTCCTTCAGGCAATCCCTTACCTGATCAGCCCATCTGTTGCAGGTCAGTATGGAGGAGGGAATCAGATAATATACAGACCTGCCTATTTATACCTGCAGAATATGGCTTCACCCAGTTCGTCTCTCTATTCCAGTTGTAACTAATGCACACTGATGATGGATAGAGTGGACACAAAGCTAACATTACATTTTTAAAAATCAGATCCACATTCATGTTTTTATTTTATATAAGATTGCATTTATTAAGTATAGGAATGACTTATTTCTCTCAAAGAATGGTTGATTAATATTCAGTCATCTGAATATAAACACATGCATTCCAATGCCTTCTGTGTGTCAATTTCAGAGAGGGTTTTCTGTGTAAATCAAAAACTAATGGGATCGTTTCTCCAAGATGAGTATTTACATTTTCCCTACCAGGCATGACCTTCGATTTTTTGGTTTGGCAATATGCTCAGTAGAAAAGTGAAGGTCTTTAAAAATTAAATAATGTGCTTCTTCTGATACGGTGTACTGCTTATTTTAGCTAGGAATTTAAATTAATCAGATGGATTGGCAGTTGGTCTGAATCCAGTTGTTGATCCTCTCTCTTCCATTTACACTTTACAAACCTACCTCCTTCATATATATTACATCTCAGAAATTGCAGCTGCTCTACGCAGAGGAGATTCTGAGACTTGAGAGAAGTGTTAATTGTAGCACAAGGATTCACATCAAATCTTCAATTGCAGGAGCTCCCAAAAGGAGGAATGAAGAATGTTTCTGCAAGGTTTTACATTTCAAGAAAGCCTTAGAGGGCATCAGGGAGCATGGTGGTGATGCCGTGACTACTTTGGAAAGAACAAGGCATAAATGTGGGAGCCTTTTTCATTTCTGATAGGTTTCTGGGGAAAAACTAAGGAAGATTGGAAACAAATTCTTAGTAGTATGCAAACAAAATCAGTTTCCAAAATTGGATCATACTGGGAACTGCAGGCAGCCCCCATTGGTAGTAAAATTTCCATTCTGCTACAGCAACTTGCAAAGTCTTAACGGACAAGAGAGGGGCTATGGAATCATCCTTTCCTCAGGCTGAAAGTGGCAACTTGATGCTTTCCAATAGGAAATTGTCAATTAGAAACTTCAAATGTTGAAGATGTCCCATTAAAGGCCTGGACTGAATTAAGGAATTCTTTGCTGTGTCCAAAATACCGCATTCTGTACTTTCCTGGTTCGGTGGTCTTTGGGATGCGCCATTCTATGATAGATGTACTTTGGCCCCACATGCCTTTCCTCCAGATGAACCTGATGGGAAAAGGAGTTTCATGAATGAAAGTGGGCTATAGAACAGCCCCGCTTTCCATAGTGGAATACTGGAGAGGAAACAGGCATTGTCTAGAAATTGTTCTAGAAATTCGTCCCTTTTCAAATTCAGATGACCGTAGAATGAAAGAAGATTCAGCAAGTTCTGTGGGACAGAAAAGGAGGATTTCTCATAAAAGTTCTATAGCTGAAGGTGGACTTCGATGTGGTTCTGTCCAGTTCTCATGAACACCTTCACTGCTAGAACACAGTGATACGGTGGTGATGAAAGTCAAGAACAAAAGCAAAGAAACCACATTATAATCTAGCATTATGGGTAAGGACATGCTGGATTATAGCCCACCAGTAGGAATTCGTTCATTGTGGGGAAGGGAGGAACACTACCTGCCTTGGCTTTCCAAAGCCAATCCCTTCAGGAAGAGTAAAAAGAAAAAAGAAAAGAAAACCTGGCAAGT